AGTCAGCCTCTCGGAGTTATTATCCCGTACAGAAAGCAATCTGTGTTTATGAATGAGTAAAACAGTTAGATAACTTATGTGGAAAATTTGATTAGAGTATATAAGCAGTGAAATTTTATATAAATAAATCAATATATATATATATATGTATGTATGTATATATATATATATATATATGTATGTATATATATTGAACCGTGTTTTAAATTCATCAGATTGAGGAAATTTTGGATTAATCCACAGCTTTTATGCATTCCAAGTATTGCGCATAGAACATGAATCTATCAAACAACGTTCGTGTTAGATATAATGAATAACTTTCGCAAAGTAATGTTAAATCCAGTAATTGTATTTTACCTTGATATTTATGGGCTTTTATGAGCTGCATAACAACAATAATAGGCTGGTTGTTAGCACTTAGCAGATGAGGTATAATTTCATCAACAAACTCGCCCCAAAATGTAGCAGACAACTTCTTCCTCCTGTCAAATAGAAATAATAATGTAATTTTAGCATATGTAATTATCAAATCAATCCTTAATGAGTAGATGAATATTTATTCTTACTCGTCATCTTCTAGTTCAATATTCATAAATTTCCTAGAAATTCCACCTTGGTTTTGCGTATGTACCTCACTGAAATTGACAATTTCTCCAATGACATCTAAAAAACAAAAAAAATTGTTAAACTAAATAGTAGAAAAAATCATAATTAGAAATTTAACGTAAAAGTTATATTTACCAAATAATTCAGTCTCGTTCACGTCAACATTATTTATCAATTGATCATATGGTCGCAAATCAAAGATATTCATTGGGAAAAGTGTATCAGTTGTTTCAACCACTGTTGTCCGTTGAGTAAACGTCAGCCTCAACCTATGTTCATGGTGTTGAACTTCTCCTTTATTTATAACAACGATAAAGTTCGCCATATGATATAATCCAAGCTCAAATGTATTTGTGTTTTGAAAAGATCGCAAAACTGACTTTGCCAATAGAAGCACTTATCCGATCGCCCTACAAAAAAATCTATCTATAAATTAAAAGCACATTACATTACATAACAGAGATTACAAATTTCTAGTAATAGTAATGTATATTAACTCAACTTTTAAACAGTAGAGTTGAACAAATAACTTGACAGTCCACAACGCAAAAAGTTCTCAATTTCTTCTAGTTAGTTCAAAGATATATAACGCACTTACGTTGTGATTATATCATGGAAGAGGCATAAGTATCCCTCAAACTTGTCTCGAATGTCAATTATACAATTGTGTTTTGTGAGTGCTAGTATACCATGTAATGAATTGAACAATAATGAGAGATTTTGATACTTTTTTTTAAAAAAAATGAAAAATTTTGAGGAAAATCCTTTAGAGTTTCTCTTTCAGGCCTCTGTGTAGAGTATAATTCATGGTCAAAATTAAGCTATCAGGCCAGAAGTGTTAGACTTGAATATTTCACTTCACTGAAAGCTAAACATAGGACAGTAAACATTACCGCTCCGAAAAAATTGAAACAGAACAGTTGAGATATTTTCCTTAGAGAAGAGTAAAACTCAAACCTAAGTATATGTAATAATGAACATATGAAGAGATTTTGATTCTTTTTTTAAAAAAAAAATGAAGAGATTTTGATAATTCTGAGCTTGAATTATTCCCTCAATCTATGGGGCTCAAAAGTGTTAAGAGGAATTTGGTAAGGCAGGATAGAATCAGAATTTACATCATAGAATCCTCTAGTATGGTATAATCAAATCAAATAACATTTTAGATTATACAAAACAAAGATATGGTCGATAATCATATAACAATAACAATTCCGAAAACCAAACAGAATTAGCAAGTTAAAAACAAATTTAAAATACCTTTTCATCTTGTAGAACCAATTCAATCGAGAATATAGTCCCAGGATTAAAACGATCCGGTACTTCCCACAAACAGACAACACGAACTTTCAACTTCCATTGCATCTTCGAAATAGTTATATCGTTGATGAAATCAATGTGAGTAGCCATCTTATGCATAAGCCGTAAGTTTTCTTCAAATCTTGATAAAAGAAGGAAGTTTAGAATTGAAGAACGTCTAGTTGTGGAAGAAATATAAAGTCCTCCACGATTGAGCAGTTGCTACCCAGTATACAGTACGTGGGTTAAGCAGTTAAATCCATCGGCAAGTTGGAGAGAAAATTTAGGTTAACTTGAAGGTAGAAAGTAATTACCTAATATTGTGGAGTAAAAGTTTTAAAAAATAAAATGATTTAATATTTTAAAAACATTAAAAATTGAGATAATTGAAAAGGAGTTTGAACGGTTTAGAACTGAAAGGTTTTGAAGGCCATTCCTATTTTTAAGGAAGCAGGCGGTTTTTAGTATTACAATGATTTAATAATTGGAAAAAAAATTAAAATAAAAAAATGCAGAGAAGGCATCTATTAACGAAACAGTTACAACTTAAAATAACAGTTCCTAATAATTGAGGAAGTAGGCGGTTTTTAAGTATTAAAATGATTTAATAATTTCAGGAAAAAAAAATTGTAAAGAAAAAGAAACAGTTTGAACGTAAAGATAATATGTAGAAAACGAAACAGTTACAACTGAAACGTGTAGAAGCCCACTGCTATTTTTGAGGAAGCTGGTGGTTTATTCCAAATAAAATGATTTAATAATTGAAAAAAAAATTAAAATAAGTAAAATGCACAGAAGGGATCTGACGTTTTTTAGAAGAATTTATTGAAGGGTAATCCAATTAGTGTAGTTCCTAATAATTAGGAGTAATGTCCTAACATGCCATGTGTCATGTTATTGTTTTGCCATTTGGCTTCATGAGGGGCTTTTGTCTTTTGCTTTTAATTATAGATAGATTAAATGGCCGGAAAAAATTACATCAGGTTTACGTGCACATAGCGTCAACCATTTTTCATTTAATTAAGAAGTGGGAAAAGCTGACCATTTTTTTCGTTTACACTTAATTCAAAGTATTATAAAGGACTATAGACGAAGAATAAATCATGGAATACATGTTAAAGGCACTGCCTAAACTTTTCTTTATACTTGAATCACATACTTCCATGTGTGAATTAAAAAAGTTTTCCAACATGAAATAATGAAATGTACGAAGGAAAATACCATAGAAATTTGGAAACTAGCTAACAGAAAAATCTCTGTTTTCTTTTAAAATTTAAATGAACATGAGTGCCTGATTCTTTCGCATCAATTAATCAGACTTAGCTTGCTCATCATATCCTCCTAATTTGGGAAATTAAGTCTCCAAATGATACTACCATATTTCAACCAGTCATGCTATATAATTTAAATAAATTAGTTCGAATTCAACTAAATTTCGACGTCACTTATTGTCTTACTTCGTAATGTGTACGAAAAATAAATATAATTTAAAAATCCTTTTTACATGTGTGCGCCATTTTCCCTATTTCTTGATCAAACAAAATTCAATGGTCAGAAAACTATTGGTAGAATCTTCCATGATTGATGATACATCGTACATCCAACCGCGGCGAAATAGCTTTTGGGACAAGTGCACATATAACCATTTTCAGGAATGTTATTTAGATATTAGCCGGTACTTATTTTGTCCCGAAAGTTTAAACTAAAAATCTTAACTTCAGGACGATTGAGGATACTTTTGTCCTAAAAATTTGAAAAACTAAAATTCAGGACGCACTGATTAATTCCTAACTGTAAAGTGGCTTCCTGGTGTCCTTTTTACATAGTTTTTTCAACGATTTTCTGAATTTTTAGTAGGAAGTTATTAGCATAAATGAACCTCGAATATTCCATAGCTACAAATAAAGGGAAATTGTTAAATCTTATTTTCCCGAGGAGATTTTGTGAATTACTAAGAAAAGAACAATTAAAATTGTAAAAGGCAAGTCATTTAATAATGTGTGTGTTATGACCAAAAAAAATATTGTGTGAATAAATTTATACATTGGCATAGTCATTAAATCTCTCATTCAGATTTGGTTTATCTAGATAGCAATATGGGAAGACATGGGCTCTATATATAAAGTAGTAAATGATACACCACACTGTAAACTAATTAAATTGTTAGTACTAAAATTATTCTTGGCTAATATATATGATGATTGTACTACTTCAATTGATGACATTAGCTTTCTTATTTGGCACTGTAATTTTTGTCTTAATCTTTATTCACCAATTCTTCTTTGTTAAACATGAGCCTAAAGGCTTACCTAATGGGAGCATGGGCTTACCCTTTGTTGGAGAAACATTTGGCTTCTTTACCCCTCATAAATCATTCTCCATTGGCAACTTCTTACAAGAACATCGCTCTAGGTACCAATTCATATTTATTTTTATGCAATATTTTATGCTGTTAACTATGGTCAAATGTGGAAAATGAGTTTGTTGAATCAAACTCAAGACATATCAAAAAACAACTATAATTAATATACGGTCATGATCATCCAACTCGTTCGAAATGTGTTTTCGATCAAGATAGGTCAAATAACGGGATCATAACCAAACGAATCCGCCTAACATGACACAACTTTTTTTTTTTTTTTTTGCTTTTTGAAAAAGAATGTGAAAGCCATTGTATTTTCCTTATATATTGTAGCTTAATTTCTTCAAAAAATTGCATAATCGTCAAATTCCAAATGTAATTTTGTATGTTTGGATTTGGGTTGTATTGTGAGTTTGTGACCCACTAATTTGAGAGTCATTTTGGGCTCAACCGGATCAAGTCTAAAAACCATAATCATATTCGTTAAAACTGTAAAGATAGCACGGGCTAGCCATTCAAAAATAGCCAGCGTTTGCAAAGTCATTGAAAAATATCTACTATTTTGCTGCAACGCGGAAAGTTCCAGCATAATATACTGGAGATCGGTGCACCTGTGTATGAATTTCCAACATATTATGTTGGATCTCCAACACACGGAAAATTCCAATATATTATGCTGGACTGGTATATTATACTGGAACTCCAGTATATACTTATACTGGAATTCCAGTATATTATTGGAGTATTTTTCCGGATTTTGAACAGTGTTTTCGTTCAGATTTATCTTTACATGAAAAGTGGCTAAAGTTCAATTACTTTTGAAACTATGGCTATTTTTGAACGACCCACTTGTAAATTTGGCTATTTTTGAATTTCTCTCGTTAAAACTTGAACGGGTTGAGCGAATTACTAAAAAAATAGATTAATTTTGTCACCTCTAACTGTGCTCAAGATAATTTTATTTATTTTTTTGGTTTATTTCAGATATGGAGAAGTATTCAAATCCAATCTTTTTGGCTCTCCAACCATTGTTTCATGTGATTTAGAATTCAGCATATTTGTACTTCAAAATGAAGGCAGGCTGTTCCAAAGCAGCTACCCTAAATCAGTTAGAGACATTCTTGGCAAACACTCTTTAATGCTTGTCACTGGTGATCTTCACAAAAAATTCCGAAGCATTGAAACTGGCATCATCAATAAATTTAAGTGCAAACCCGATTTTCTCGATTCTATTGATAAGTTATGTACCTCGTTAATGGAATCATGGACAGGAAATCAAGTGGTTCTCTTCTCAAAAGAAGCCAAACAGGTACGGAAAGAAAATAATACCATACTACGTACATTTGGTCAAAATATTATCTGATATTAATTTACTTGTTATTTTTCGATAACGATAAATATTTTTGAACAAATTCAGTTTGTATTTGCAGTTTAGCTTTAATTTGATGTTGATGAATGTACTGGACATGGAACCTGGAGAGCCACTAGCTTTGCAATTATTAGAGGATTTCCTAACGTTCATGAAAGGATTTGTGTCCATTCCAATAAACCTTCCTTGGACATCCTATGCCAAGGCTCTTAAGGTGCTGTTACAATTTTTTATGTTTTGGTGGGTTTGATATGACTAAAAAATATTATTTGAAAAATATCTTTCGGAAAATAAGTTATTTTCTTGTGTTTTTCTTAAAAAAAAAAAGATTTTACCAAAAGGGAAAAAATGACTTTCCTCACTTTTGGGTGAAAGTTATTCTCCTCACAATTATTTCAATCCTTAACTTTATATCTCTGCTTTAACTGACAATTGACAATTGTTATAATTTTTTAATACTCAAATTTTTTATCAAAAAATGCTATCAAGCTTGCTAATATTATTATTAATCTTTAAAAAATATTTTCACTCTCCAACAAATATATAACTTCTGTCTTACCAAACACTCCGGATTCAACTAAAACTTCTTCTGTCAGTAGTGGTTTTAATGATTGATTCATTCTCTTCGTACAGGCTCGTACGAGGATCGCATCCACCTTGAAGCAAGTACTGAACGATAGAAAAAAGAGAAAAGATTTGGGGATTAATGAGCTAGCCAAAGAAGACATTTTTAATGAGAATTTATTGAAAGGACACTTAAGTGATGTGGAGAAAGTAAGCATTTTGCAAGACCTTCTGTTGGCTGGTTATGAAACAACCTCAGGACTTCTGTCCTTACTCGTCTATTTTCTTGCCCAATCACCACAAGCTCTCCAGTACTTGAAGGTATAAGAAAGCAAATTATATCAACTCATTTTAACTTGATCTTCAAACACACCACTTGTAGGGCGGCTCAATAAAATTGGTGGCCTAAAGTCTGTTTGTAACAGGAGACCTTATTTGAATAATACTCCCTCATTTTAGTGTGAACTTATTTCTTTCTTTTTAGTCCGTTAAAAATAACAAGACCCCTTTAAAATTTTTAAGACAATTTAATTACCAATACTAACACATATGCATCATATGATCAGAATGAACATCGAGCATTGAGGAGAACGAAAAAGGAAGGGGAACCCCTAAACTGGGAAGATTATAAGCAAATGAAATTCACCAGTATGGTAAATATTCTTGAATCTAGTCTTTCAATTAATACTAATCAATTGCTTATATATACGTCCGAGATATGAACGATTGTCTCTTGCACTTTTATAGTACGCACTTACATTGCGAGCTAAGAAATGAAAATTCTAATTGTTCGGGTAGTTTTTTAGACTATAAATGTAGTTTAAGATATGATGATGACAGTAAGTTAGTTATTATTTTTATGAGGTTTACATATTTATCAAGATTATTGATCTGGAATTATTTTAGTGATTAATTTTGTAAATATTTTTTACACCATCAATGCACCTAAAATCTTATTATAATTCAGGTCATTAACGAGACTCTACGTTGTGGCAACTTGGTGAAATTTGTTCACAGGGAAGCTATCAAGGATGTAGAATTCAAAGGTTTGTTAACGTGAATTCATATAAGTTTTACTATTTTATTTAAATCATTCACATTATTAGAAGAAATACAAGATTTCCGTCATAAATATTCTTTTCTTTAAGTGAATTTAATTTCCTTTTATCAATGTGATGGAAGTGCAGGATATCATATACCAGCGGGATGGAAAGTCCTTCCTATCTTGTCTTCTGTACATCTTGATCCATCCCTGCATCAAAATCCATCAGAGTTCAATCCTTGGAGATGGGCCGTAAGTTATTTTTTATTTTTTTTACTTTTCGAATAATAGACGATACATTAAAATCCTTTTTTTCAGGATCCGACCACAAGCAAGAGGGTGATCCCATTTGGTGGTGGATTGCGGCTATGTCCGGGATGGGAACTTGCTAAATTGGAAGCAGCTTTATTCCTACACCATCTTGTCATCAATTACAGGTATTATAATCAGAGATTGCAAAATGACTCAATTTGTTCAAATATATATATATATATATATATATATATATATATATATATATATATATATATATATATATATATATATAGTTACAATGCTAATTTAAATTTTGATATGTTCTTAAGTTCTAAACCTATTTTATCTAATAAAATATTTATCAATTGTGTAGGTGGACAGCGAAAGAAGATGATCATCCAATGTTGTATCCATATTTGGAATTCCCGAAAGGATTGCTAATGACTTTGGAAGCAGAAACACGTAAATTTTGAGGATATTATTTCTTTAAGGTGATGGACGACAAGGACAAAGTGATAGAATAAGATTAATAGAAGTATTTGTTTGACAAATTTTAAATTACAAAAAGATGCTGCAGATTTATCAAGGTTGAGCTTATGGCAATTATTTTTACGACTATGTAAAATTTACAAAATTCCCTCGTCATCATTTTCTGCACCCAACTTCACTTTAATACAAGTACTTAACATTCACCTTTAACACTAAAAAATGAAGAAAAAAAAAAGAAGAAAAAAATAAACTTGTAACACTAAGAGGAAAGAACAATGTCTATTAAGAAAGTCTCAGTTCAAGAAGATTGGTGGATTGTGAAAGAATTTGAGCATTCAATTTGAAAATTTTTAGGGCAAAGAATGGAATAGTTCAATAGATCGTTATAAATTTCTTCGAAAATTATTATACAACTGATGAGGAACAAATGTAATGTGGACAAGTTGGAAGAATTTTAACTAAATTTTTTCATCTTTAGTAACTATGCCAATTGCCAATAATCTTGGTCGGATTTTGAAGCTGCTAATTGATCACGCCCAATATGTCTTATAAAAATGATAAAGCAGTCGTTGCAAATATATTCCGGTTATGAAGTCCGGAGTTGAATCCCACAGGGAATTAACCTATCAATCACACCTATTGGACTTATACTAATTCACGTATTCAATCTTCGGAGATATTTAAGTAATAGATTGGATGTTTACTAAATATTACGTAATGAAAATGAAGTAATTAAGAACTAACTATGAACAGTTTGTAAACAAGAATTGGAATGATCTAAGTTTCTGACTTCCCCTATTGTCGGAATCCTTTCCCCTATGTTTACTAAAAATTTGCCTAAGTCTTCTCTATCGATCATGAGCACTCTGACTGTCGTAACTCTCTTCCGAGTAATTGCAATAATATACTAGACATATTATCCCGAATTACGCTAGCTAGCCTTAATTACAGCTCACTTAGATCGCACCCAATGTTTCGTTATCCCTAATTTCACCTTTAATCGTATTGACCCCTCATATACGTTAGGAGTGGTGTTGTTCAATAACTATCTGAATATGCACTCTCTCCCGAGTAATATATACTAAATAGGCACAACTGATTGAGGAACCTTCAATCAACAACAATCACAATATAGTTGAACAAATAGAGAAAATACTATGGCAGATCTATATTAACATAACAAGAAAATCATCCTCTAATAAGTTCCATAAAAACCCGAGATTAGGAGTTTAGCTATGCATAATCGTTTTTCCAATCCAATAGAATTCATCATAAATGCTAAAAACAAGAGGAAGAAAGGTAAAAACTCTATGCCGAATCTTCTGCCTTGCTTCTTGCCTGTTCTTGCATTCAAGATCACTTCAAAAACCTCGATACTAACTTTTTGGGCGAGCTGGGCTTCTTATAGGTCAAGGAGAGTCGCCTCTGGACTTACAATTTTACCCCTGAAATAAAAATCCTCGGAGGGACGTGTGCGGCCGCGGATGGACCGCGGATGGGCCGCGCATATTACCTTTTGTTCTGCCTGATGAGCGCAGCCGCAGATGGACTGCGCACCTGGAGAATATTTCTGCCTTCAGTTTTCTTTCTTCTTTTGCGCGAGCTCACCTCCGGTTGGCCTTCCTTGCTCTAGATTAACTCCAAAACACTCTTTAATGTCCTCATAGCCAGGAATTTTTCCTACAAAGCACAAAGTTCTTAATTAGAGCAATTTGTTAAGTATCATTTAACATTCATATATCAATAAAGTATAGCTAAGTTGGAGCATAAATGATAGCTAAACTACATAATTATAGCCTACTATCACTAATCAAAACCACCAACACATTTTGTTCCATGCATTTATACTGAATTAGGCAATTGTCCAACAAAGTTGCTCCTCAGATGGCTGCACTTTAGGGGACATATTTCTTTATTTTTATGTGACATAGTAATTAAGTTCGTGTTTGAATGAATAGGGGTACTTATAAGGCATTAGAAGTGAGTGTAAGTAAGCCTTTATATATATATATATATATATATATATATATATATATATTATTTTGACATTGGAATTAGATTTATGGTCTTCTTGTATATTCTGGTTTCCCACTATATAAATTGCCAGAAAATGGAAGAATTTCAATATCTTTATATGTATACACTATGAACTTTAAATTTATGTACATATATATAGTTTGTTTATTCCATTCTTTAAATGGCCGGAAAAATCAGGTTTACGTGTATCAACCATTTTTAGTTAGTTAATTAAGAAGAGGGAAAAGCTAAACCTTTCGTATATCTTTTTTTTTTTTCGTTTACACTTGATACAAAGTATCAAAAAGGACTATAGACGAAGAATAAATCATGGAATACATGTTAAAGCGTTTTTCTGAAATGTGAGTAGGAAGTTATTAGCATAAATGGATCTCGAATGTTCCATAGCTACAAATTAAGGGAAATTGTTAAATCTGTGAAGCACTACTGTGTTAAAACACAAAATCAGAAAACTGTTAGAAGAATAAAAGAAACTGGAAAACAGTAAAGAATAAGAAATATTCCGAGTCCACAATATGCTTGTGCGTCCTTAAGGAATTTTAACCCCCTCACACGTTGCCAAGGTAATGGATTAAATCCTCCCAGGATGAAACGGAATAAACCTTCCTGCAACAGTGGCAATACAAACTGCAGGATACCAACGAACTCAAAGAACGGAGCAAAATCACACTTACGAATTTGAGAGAGAGAGACTGCGAATTAGAATGCAGTATTTCCAGAAAGAAGGAAGTTCTGTAATTTTTTAGTGTGTTAAAAACAAAGTCATGCCTCTGAATTTATAGGCAATTATTGGAAGAGGTGTGATGTTTGTTCCGGAAAATGTGTCTGTTCAGAATTTTACGCGTCCTGCCGCGGTCCTACCGCGGTTACGCCAGGACCGCGGCCAGAGTGGCCTTCTGAATCTGCGTACTGCCGCGGTCCTACCGTGGTTATGCCAGGACCGCGGCCAGAGTGACCTTCTGAATCTGCAGATTTAATTAATTATTAAATAATTAATTAAATAACTTTTGTCCAAAATAATCTTATCAATCGATCATTTGACAAATCCAAATCCAAATCCAAAGCCGAAGCCGAGCCGAGCCGAGCGAGAGACGACGACGGCGTGAGGGTTCATTCTCTTCAACTCCTTTTAAGAGCTTTAAGAAGTGGTTCTATATATAAGCACACAAATGTAGTTTTCCCTCACCAATGAGGGACAAAGTGCAAGTCAAAAGCTCACTTCATTCAAATTTTTATTTCCCACCATTTCCAATTCACACTCTTAGACTTTTAAAGCCCAATGCTTAAAGTCTTAAGCCCAATGCTTAAAGTCTAACAATCCCCCACATGAATGGGAATGGCTGTAACAAGAATGATCATAGATGAAAGCTGTGTGATTTGCAAGTAAGGATTAATTGCATCTGGATAAGTAGGTTTCCCTTTGAACTTTCCGTAGTGAACATATGTCGGATATACTCGGTCAATCGGTAGATTTGATATCTTTGAACCGTCGAACTTTAGTGTATACCTAGACAACCATATGTCATACAACCAACCCTTAACCGTCTTTTGGTTCTCATTGTTGTGTTCGTTTCAGCCATGAACACCGCCTGGTTTCATAAGTGCGTAGAGAATTGGTCTTACAGAATTCTTATTGAAACGGCTTCCACTTCACACTTACATAGGTGATTCCTAAACGTGTAATCCTTTAGATTGACACTATTTGATAAATACAACATCAAACTTAGGTAATCATTAAAGAACGTGTAAAGTTCTATCCTTGTTACTGAACATTGTCTTCATCACGAGAAGGGACCAAAGATTTTACTTTGACAATGTTGAACCGGTCAATCACAATTTTGTTTGAGCTCCTTGAACCTAGATCTCGGAATATCCAAAATTCTAGGTAGAGTTACCGCCATGTTGACTTGTCCTCGGCCATAGTCCCATTCCCTTAGATGATTTCTCAACTCCCTCTCTAGTTAAGCCTTTTGTAAGCGGATCCGCCACATTATCCTTTGATCTTACATAATCAATAGTGATAATTCTACTAGAAAGTAGTTGTCTAACGGTGTTATGTCTTCGTCGTATATGACGAGACTTTCCGTTATACATAACGCTCCCTGTCCGTTCTATTGCACCTTCACTATCGCAATGTATGCAAATAGGAGCCAAAGGTTTTGGCCAGAACGGAATGTCTTCTAAGAAATTTCGAAGCCATTCAGCTTCTTCACCGGCTTTATCCAAAGCTATAAGCTCTGATTCCATTGTAGAGCGAGCGATGCACGTTTGTTTGGAAGACTTCCAAGATACTGCTCCTCCACCAACAGTAAAAATATATCCACTTGTGGACTTTGTTTCTGTGGAGCCGGTTATCCAATTTGCATCACTATATCCTTCGATAACCGCAGGATATTTGTTGTAGTGCAAAGCGTAGTCTTGGGTATATTCCAAATATCCCAGAACTCGTTTAATTGCCACCCAGTGATGTTTGTTTGGATTACTTGTGAATCGACTAAGTTTACTTATTGCACAAGCTATATCAGGTCGTGTACAGTTCATGATGTACATTAAGCTTCCCAACACACGAGCATACTCCAATTGAGACGTATTTTCACCTTTATTCTTTATAAGATGATGATTTAAGGCAATTGGAGTTCTTGCACTTCTAAATTCCAAGTGTTTGAATTTTTCAAGTACCATTTTCACGTAATGTGATTGAGACAAAGCTAGACCCTGAGGAGTCCTCTGGATTTTAATTCCTAGAATTACATCGGCAACTCCTAAGTCTTTCATATCAAACTTACTAGCAAGCATACGCTTAGTAGCTTGAATGTCGGCAATGTCTTTGCTCATTATTAGCATATCATCAACATATAAGCAAACAATGACTATATGATTTGGAACGTTCTTAATGTAAACACATTTATCACATTCATTAATCTTAAAGCCATTTGACAATATTGTTTGGTCAAATTTTGCATGCCATTGCTTGGGTGCTTGTTTTAGTCCATAAAGGGACTTAACAAGTCGACACGCCTTCTTTT